TCTCCTATAGGAAAGTCACATTACAATTTGAGTTAATATGTTTTTAAATTAAAATATAAAAATCAAATTCAAGAACGATCAACTAATTTGACCAACTAAACGGAAAAGTTATGTAAGAAAGTAATTATTTTTAGTGAAATTTGGTTGTAACATATAGTTTATTGAATTAGCAGGTTCGAGTACTTTTTTCTTTTAGTTTTTTTTTTTTTTTTTTTTTTTTTTTTTTTTTTTTTTCAAACGATAATTATATTAGTAACTAAAAAAGAGTACAATCGAGATCTGGGGCGGATCTATGTTGAACATAGGGGGGGCCATTGTCCCCCCAAAAATTTTAGTTTTTAGTATTATATATATATATATATGATAAGTATATTATTTTCACATAAAATCATAAAATTATATTAAAATAATAATTGTATTACACTTTCTAGCAATAATTCAACTACAAATTTTACTTTTTTTACACTTTTGTATAACATTTTTTCTAATTTAAATAAATTGAATGTATGGAAAATATGTGAAAACATAAAAATTGGTAATTCTTGAAGAAGAAGTTCATATAAAATATGCTTAATGGAAATAAAAAATATCAAAACTATTAGTATTGCATCAATCATTAATGAAATACATGATTTGAGAGAGCGTTCAATCTAAATTTGTTATTGTCAATTTTATAATTCATATTGCACTATTATTATATATAATTTTATAATACAACTTTTTATTTTTTATACATTAATTCAAATTTATAATTATTAAAAGAAATATATAGCTCCCCTCAAAATAAATTTATGTATTCGCCCCTGATCCAAATATCAAAAAACGCCATAAGAATCTGAACAAAGTCTTATCAACCCTCCATTAAAAGTACACAGGCAACCGAGGAGTGATAGCGAATAACTATTTAGTTGGTAAAATAAATAATAATGATATCGGTAAAATTTAGCTACAAGATTAATCATTTTTTAGTGACGATAATTTTTATCGCTATGTCGTCATAAAAAATACCATCACAATAAGAGGTATTATTGTGACGACATTTGAACATATAGCGACAATATTAGGACATTATTAGCGACGGTATTTTTTCTGACGGCATAGCGACAAAAATTATTGTCACTAAAAATGATTATTCTTGTAGTGATTATGCTACGTATGATTTTATCAGGTTGGTAGAACTATATATAGATTTTATTAAATAAACATATATTTTAAAGTAACAAAAATATTAGCAGTTACTAGCTTAGAATATGTTATATATATACATATTTTTTGGTGCAATACATTAATAGTTATAATCAATCTCTAGATGTAAGTGACTGTCAAGTATAAATTATTTTTGAAATATTTATAGTTGAGGAACAAAAATATCATTCTTGATATTTACATATTACTGTGATCTTCTTTTATAAAAAGTTAATTAATTTACTGAACAATTTTCCAAATTGAAATACATAAAGTTATAATAACTCTTTACCAAATAATTCATTTAGAAAAATAATTTGTTAAATTCTCAGGGACAAAAATCTATTCTTTATCAAAATTAGCCATCATCAATAAATATGAAAGCAATGGAAAAA